GAAGGAAAAATTGGTGCAAACGTAATTTTTAGCAATAAAATGGTTAGTAAATACTTTCTTAGCCCTATACAAAATCAACATTTTGGTAACCAAAGATGGTGCTGTGTTGAGAGATGCATATATATTACTCTGTCTATGATTTGCAAAAATTGGCTTCATACTTTGCCCCCTGATCTCAGAGCGTATGCTGTTGAATCTCTCTGCTGAGGCTCAAGGCGAGCAGAACTGAATGTCTAAAAAAAGGATCGTCTTATTCAGTCCTAGGGATTGTATCAGTTTCAGTACACGCTTTTCGACACACACATTGACACAAAAGTAAAAAGCCACTTTGGAGGCCCCTGCTTTTCTCTTTCAGCAGTAAGCTTAATAAGACGCAAATAGACAAAGAGAAAAAGGTATCCAGTCTTCTGATGTTACTTCCAAGTTCTGAAAATAGAAGGATGCATATTTTAATGCAAACAAACTACTACAAAGGTCAGGGGAAACCTTTTTGGCTTTAAGACTTGTTCTTTTCAGTGATTTTGAACTCAGATGTGTAAATAAAGAAAGTTGATGTCAGTAAACTATGCAACATTGCTTTAATAACATTTTGTTAACAGTCTAAATTACTTTCAGGAACTTACATTGTTGCCCATAAAGTTTAAACAATTTTGATTTTAGACCAGTTTTACTGATTTGTTTGGAGAAGATTTAGGGCTACACATTTTACAACCTGACAGGACAAGTTAGTAGTATTTTAAGAAAGCAATGCCTCTAAGAAAACTAACAGTTGATAGGTCTGATTATTTGTCAGTAGTGTTACACTGCCTGGATGTTTGGAACTGCATATGGTTCAACCACCCAGGATAACCAAAAAACAAACATCAGAGGTGGCCACTGAACAGACAAGTCACACAGGAAAGCTCAGAGGAGAATGCTTTTTAGAGTTTAGGTTTGTCACATCAATTAATGCCTAAATTAATACCTACAATACTTTAAAGTGGTAGCATACACAGTCAATTTTACACATTATAATACTCAAACCTAGATACCCTCAACAAACCCTCCAGCCCTAACCTGCAGAGCTCCTGGATTCAAATCCCGGACGAGCCCCCAATTGTTATGACATGGCTCTAAGGTCACAACAAAAAGGGAGGAACACCCTATGTTGGAGTTCTAAAATATAAATTTATTCAACAAAACCAAAAGTTAATGTCCGTATTATTTATATGGAGTGTGAAAATTAGTAAACTTAGGAGTGTATGGTGTGCATGAGTATAGGATGGATGGGAAAGTGTTGTAATGTGCAAGCAAAACAATCTACAATGCAAAAGGTGGTTGCATACCTGCAATAGATATCAGCTGGTGTTGTCCTGCATTTTAAGAATATTATCAAATTTTTTTTGTGGATAAATTGAACTGAAACTTTTGACTGTTTTTAACTTCTAGGCCCTGAGTATCTGAAGAAGAGGGTTTTGCTGGAGGCTGTGGAAGACCAGGAGAACCCTGACACTGAAATGCATGAGCCTCTGCTGGCTGATGAAGAGCCCCTGCCCACACCACCAGAGAGCCCGATTCTGAATGAACTGGCCAGCCTCATGCCTGGCTCGTCCCCGGCCCAAACCCCCTCCCCGAGTCCGGCCATAATCAACAAGGAAGATCCCAAACTCCTTGGTCCAAGAGGCTGGAATGAAGACAAATCCGCTAAAGGAGGTTCCACTAAGGGTGGCCTTAAACCCAGCAGTGCACCAGGTAGTCGTGCCACCACTCCTTCAGTGTCAGCTGCTGCACCTGCCTCGGCTGCACCTGAGGAGGGAGCGGCTTCCAGCAGTCGTCAACCGTCACGCTCCCCGAGTCGTCTGAGTAACAAGATCGAGCAGGGCTCCGACTTGGAAATCAAACCACTTCAGAAATTTGACTCTGAGGTAAAACCTGCAGATGTCCCTCTAGCCACTGACGCTCCAGAAATGAATAGCCTCATCTCTCCAGATGAAGAAGAAGAAGCTCCTCTTCCAGCTGCCAGCGTGCCTCCCAAAGCTGTGACCCCTGAACCCAAAGCCCCTGAGGTAAAAACCGAAAGAGCTCCGTCTGTCCAGGAGCGGCCGCCGTCCACCTCTGAGAAGAAAAGGCCATCCAGGGAGGGAAGCAGGCCGGGCAGCAGAGCAGAGACAAGACCATTACCAAAACGGCAACCGAGTCCGGCTCCGCCCCCAAAGCGACAACCGAGTCCTGCTCCATCTCCAAAACGACAACTGAGTCCATCTCCGTCTCCACAGCGACAACCGAGTCCGTCTCTGTCTCCAAAACGACAACAGAGTCCTGCTCCACCTCCAAAAACTGCTGCTAACCATGAACCTAAAACAGTTTCAAAGCCGGCGGAACCCAAAGCCATAATTGCCAAGCCAGCCGTAAGGAGCCTGGTGTCGAGAAAAATGGCAGAGTCTTCAGATCTGGAGGTGAGATGGTGGAGATACACGACTTAAAAGGGACAGGGTCTGCACATTTGTAATGTTTTGTACTTCCATTTGGGTCTCCACTGCTTCTAAAAACAGCTCAAGCGATTTAAAAAGTTAAGTAAGTAAGTTAAAAATGATCAGTTTCAAAAACTTTCCGAATGTAATGTCACAAATCAGCAGGCATTGCACCATTACCTAGCAACCCCAACAAAGTCCAACCTGTTACCTAGCAAACCAAACTGAGTTCCAGTACATTTGGTCAGCTGGTTTTACTGCTGTATGCACTGCACAATGGCTGCTGGAGAAGAAAAGTGTTTTGCTGTTTACTTACCATCCAGAAACCACTTGCTGCATTCTTGTTGGTTGTGCAGAAGGCTCCACTTTTGCTTTTCAAAGATGTATGGTTGTATAATTTCACATCTGTTTGCAGTCATTTTCCTGTGCAAATGTAAACATTGAGTTTGGAGGGTGGTTGGGGTAATTTAAAATACATTTCGATTTCATCATATATCTGTGTGCAACTTTTTCGTGTCTTGTTTTGTGTTATTAACTTTATTAACTTAACTTAATATGCAAAAAAAAAAAAAAAAAGATGAACAAAGTGCACAGTTAGGCCTGATGATGCAGCCATTTTCATAAGGGGGAGGAATCATTTTGAACAAATGTATTTTTTCTGCAATCTGTAAGCACCTAGAAACTCCATCCTATTCCATGCCGGATTAATTGTAGGGATTCTTTATTTTAGCATATCTCTGAGTCATTTGACTCTTTTCAAAGCTTTATAAGATCTCAAAAAACCAAACCAGCAAGTATAAATGCAGCATTTTATGGATAACTCTTGACATTAATTATTAATGGATTTGTTTACCAACTGTGTCTACCATACTCTGGTAATTCCTAATCAGCCTGTCAGTAATTAGATATGATGTGAAAACTGTGGAGTAAATATGGAGTTGTTGTTCCCTTATAGTTTCTATTCAGTGAATTCACTGTGATCATTGCTCTTCTTCCGTTTCAGGGCCCAAACACCATCATGGTGTGTATGGTGATCCTGCTAAACATCGGCCTGGCCATACTCTTCGTTCACATTTTGTCATGAGACTTTTTCCACCACATCAGGTAATAAATATAACCTGTTTTCCATGGAGACATTTGGGTAAAAAATAGGATTTTGCTAATCACTGTACAAATATATTATGAAGGTCAGATTAAACTGTGAGTCTTAAAGGGAGGGATTGTGTTTTTATTGACAAAATTATATTGTGCTGCTAAAGCTGAGTTTGGAACACATTTAATAACACAATTTAATATTTACAATTTGTGCTCTTTTTTATTTATTTGTATGTTTTTATTGTAATTTCCTTGGAATACTGCCCACTATTTTCAGAATTATAATTTTCAGCCATTGTTTACATTCAGACTGACCACATCTGGCTTCTTCTGGCGCAGAATTACGACGCATGTGTCGGGTTAAGGATGTAAAAGTTGGATAATACATGACCGTTCAGACTGTAGACACTTTGAAAACTTCAGGGGGTCTTGACAACTCAATCCATCTTGCACCATATTGTATGAAAGAACTCCTGTTGGACAATTACTTAAACAAGCTTATTCACATGTGATTTGAATTTAATTTCTAATTTAATGGAAAGATTTGCGCCAGTTGTATTGGGAACAGCTTTTGATCTGCTTAGTGACTATCGGACAATTCCTCCCTTGAGTTTATTTACGTTCTTCTGCTGCAGGTGGCAGGTGGTGTTGGACTGTGATGTCGTTGCTCCTCCACCTCATGGACCAGAGATCAGAGACACCACTGACGGCTGGCAGGAGCCTCCTGAAGTCTTCTTCGTTGGTTCTGTGAAGCTCTTCTTCTGCAGAGCTTTGTGGGAAACTGAAGGACAATGAAGAGCTGAAACGTCTGAATATGACTGTTCTGTTAAAGTTGGTGGTTAGATGGTAGAGCAAGTCTCGGAGCTGGGTGGGCCTCCAGAATTCAACTTTGTCACAGTGTGTGTCACAAGGTTTGCCGTCATTTTGCAATATGGGTTGTCCTACTGCTAATCTGCCTTACACCGAGTGGTCCTCACGACACTGAATCAGTAGATCACACGCTGCCTCGACATGTGTTTGTGTTTTGTAACTGCAGATGAAGTAATGTTGAAAACTCATCCAGACTGAACTTTCACTCAATTTTGCCTTGAATTTGCTCGGACACAGCAGCGTCCTTGTGAAGAAAAACTGCGTTTTTCGACGCCTGCAGCGGGTTAAGCGCTGTTTGTTTGTCAGTCATCTAACACATATGTTCTCTTTTTACAGGGATTTACTGTATGTGTGAGTTTTTATTCTGCTGCTTTTTTGTGTAGAAAGAAGATCAAAAGAGATTAAGAAAGGAAAAATAGAAGAAATAAGGATATTTGAGAGTCCCTGCTGAGGTTTTTGTCCTGTTTGTTCCTGTGGAGCCATGCACTGCTAATTAGCTAAGGGGGATAATATCTTCATTCAGATTTATCCAAAGCAATCACTGTATATTTTAAGAAAGGTGCTGAATCTGTAGATTGTTATTCCTGCAGCAGGAGGAGTTTTAAAGGGATCGATATGTCTCTTGAGATCCTGACTCTGTGTTGCATTCAGCTTCAGAGCCAAATATTTGTATGCAGGAGGTGATTTTCTGTACTTTTGTACGTTTTTTGGGAATGCGCCTTTTCATCTTACACAGAATTCTGCTGTTACCTTTTATTTATAGCTAAAATAATTAAGCGACCCCAAATCCTAAATTAATTTACCTCTCTGTAGTTAGATTAAAAAACCAGAATGATTCTTAACTCCATGTCTTACAGTGAAAAGACTTATTTTCTCTTTCTTTGTGTGGGGGGTCGGGGCCTTACAAAGAAGAAGCATCTGAAGCTGATCTGCCTTTAAGTTTGATGGTGTTGTTGATGAAGGAAAAGCCTAAAAGTATTTGCATTAAAATAAAGAAAAAAATCTCCCATGATTCTTCCTCTGGTGGTTTTTGTAAGTGAGCTTGCAGGAAAAGGTAATGCTATTTGAAGAACTGAGTGTGTCACCAGAGCCCATTTTTTCCAGGACAATGTTAAGCTTTGTTTTTGCTTCAGTAAAGCAGGAAGGTCTGTTTTTACCATGTTACTCAGACATGATGAATCCAGTCTGGTAAAAACAGTTTGAAGTATTTTTAAACAGCAACTGGCTGCCACCATGCGACACCCTCTGTTCATCCCTGGGGCCACTTTGAATATCACCTTATTTTAGGCTGCAGGTCTTCTATGGAAGACCATTCCTGACACAAAAACTTATTTTTTAGAGTCATAAAATATGCCTTTGAAACTTAGAGTTATGACTTTTTAGCTCATTGTTAGAACTTTGTAATGCAACACTTTCTCCAACACCGTTTTAATTGCATTGTAATAACTTTAAAAGCTATTACTTATAAACTGAATATCCATAATTATGACTATCATTTCATTGCAATAACTTGAAACTTGTAATATTAACCTCATGATTATGAAATTGTATCTCATAATTATTATATTTGATCTCCTAAATATGGAGATCTGAATTTTAAAAATGACATTTTCTCATAGTTTTGAAACTTGTAGTTTGAATCTCAAAAATGAATTGTAACTTAAAACTTTTACTATTTAATCTTGTAATTATGAAACTATATATCATAATTCGGACTTTGCATCTCACAATATAATTAGGGGTTTGAAAATTATTTGACCTCTCATAATTTTGAAACTTAAATACGAATTTTATGTCATTGTGACTTTTATTTTATAATTTTTGAATAATTCAAATTCATAAATTAGACGTCTTTCATCGCATATATATCCGTTTTCTCACGATAAACGTCAAATAAATGAAATCGCTTTTTGTTTGATTTGTTGAAACCAGGAGCGCAATTCAAACATTTACTCAACAACACTCCCCTCTAGTGGTCAAAATTAACTCATCAGCTCACAGGTCTAAAATAAAACATTTAGTTTTACATTTATAAAATCTATCTATTTTGCACCTCTGGACACATTTTATTTTGTAGCAGCGAAGCCGAAAGCTGACCTCTGGAACATATTATTATTAAGTGTTTGTTTACTACTCTAAGATACGCTTCAAAATAATAAATGACTCTATAAGCTGCTTAAATTTAAAGTTTTGTCCGGAATCCGCCAGAGTTTGTGGTAGCAGAAAATAAACAACAATCTTGGAATTAAATGAGGAATATGATGCAGAAGACCATGTAGGTTCATGCATTTAAAAGTGTCTGCTTTCATGTATTTTTCTTGCAAATCTTATAACATAGTTTATTGTCAATTTCAAACATTTTAAAAATCATTTCAGAGCAATGACGACAAGAATCAAAAACACTCATAGCATCAGGAAAGATTTCTCAGTTTGCCACCAAAGGACGCAAGGCTCATTTATTTGCTTTACTCTACTGCCCCCAGAGGTGATTATTGGTATCTTTAAAATTAGAAGTTGCGCTAAATCCTCTCCTTCCTATTGGTAATATTTACTCTCCAACATCAGAATCATCCAGCTTATCTTTAAAAACTGAATTAAAAAAAAAGAAAATACAGCAAAAGCAACTGTATCTGTAGCACTCAGATGGAAAAAATAAACTAAATAATCCCATTTAACACAATATTCCTCTCCTCCATCTTCCCCTGGTGCTCTTCATGGTGGTGGCTGAGAGGGCAGGATTATATTTATAATCTTTATTTGTCAAAAATATTTGAATTGTTTGAATTTTCCCTTGAACTTGCTGCTTTCTGCACTGAATTTACAAAAACCAAACAGGTTTTTTGTTAGGTAAATAAAATTCATTGACACTCTGTTAATGACAAATAAAGAACAAAAATGTATTTTATCATCTGTCAAAAGACATTACTGGTATAGCTGTTGTTGCTGTTGTTATTGTTATTGTCATTATAAATACATAACACAACTTATTTTGAGTTTGCTTCACTAGTTTTGCTATTTTTTTTCTTTCTTTTTACTTTACATACTTTACACGTCCAGAAAAAAAACTTTTACTACATTTTCTAAATATTATTAAATGTGCAATTGTATATAAAATCGGTATAAAATTGTGTGTTTTCATGGAAAACCTTAAATGATGACTGTGGCATTACTGCTGTCTGATAAGGATGTAATATGTATTTATCACCACAAGGTGGCAGGCGAGGACAAAAGAAAACTGTTTATATTTCTGCAGTTCATATAAAGGCTATGAATAAAAAGCAGAGATTGATTTTGATTTGAATACACAGACAGTCTGATGCATTTTAGTCCCAATGCTGCATTGAACCATTGTCCTGCATCATGACCTACCCATGATGCACTGCTTCTCTTCTCCCCTCCTGGCTTTGCTCTGTGCCATCATCAGTGAACATCAGCAGGGACTGTCAGAGCACCCATGGGCTTCACCCGAGCTGCACCACTCGCTCTGCGTAATTACATAACAGAAGCAATTTATTTGTCATAACAAAGTAATTTCCCTTTCAATAACACAATGCAAAAAGGATGAATATTTTGTCATTAACGATTTAATGCAAAATCCTGCTTCCATAAAATCCATCTTTGTTAATAAAGGAAATAATGAAGGTGGTGTTTCAGACAGACACTTGAATTTTAAGGTTTACGTGTTTATTAATTCAGTCGTTATGATAAAAAAGCAAAAGCAGGGATAAATAAAAGTAAAATTAACACCTTGCATGTTCTCAGTTTGTTCGCATCATGTTTTAAAATCACAAAAATGTAAAGCAGATACACCAGATTTGGTTTGTTTTGTATTTTTGTTTAACAATAATTAATTTTCAAAAATTTGACTAGAAACATCCCTGTAATCTTCTATGTACTTTGAATTTATTTTTACAGAAATTAAAAGCCTCATGGTTCGTTTTAGAGAGGAGCGACTGTAAGCAGTTAATCACTCAAGAACCTCGTGAAAAATTTGGGGGCAATCGTAGCTTTAACATGAGGTTTGTGCAGTTCTACGGAGGGATTTGGTACAAAACCTTTTTAAATCCATCAGTTTTCTTGGCAATTCAAGCTTTAGCTCCCTCTAAAGATTTCAGGATTGAGGTCTGAAGAACGAATAAGCTGTCATGACCCTCATGCGATTTGTTCTTTAGTTAGGCTTTTGTTGCTTTGGTGACGTGTTTTTTTGGTTTTTTATGTTCATGTAAGAAGACAAACATTTGACCAAAATTTGAGGTTAGTGTTGAAGAGGTTAATGTTTTAAGAGGTTAATGTTTTAAGGTTGTGTCTTTTGGCATGTCTGCATGGTGATGTCATTCTGCGCCTTGAGCAGAAAAACAGTCCCAAATCATGATGCTTCCACCTCTGTGCCTGACACTGGGGATGGTGATCTTTGGGTCAGAATGAACATTTCTTTCATGGAGCGCCACTCCGAGGATGATTCAATTAAATGGTTTTGATTAGAAACAAACATTTCACATGTATCCACAACACTGCTGTGGCTTCAGACAGATGTGGTTGTAATTTGACAAAAATAAATAAATAAATCATGAACAACGTGAATTTAATGTAATATTAATCTGGTTTAGGTGGCTTTCTACTTTACAGTTGTTCCAGCTTAGCAGGCAGGTAAGTGGTTACTCGCCTGGTGCATTACAGATGTAGAGGATCAATGGGTGACTACACACACAATCCAAGCCAGCAGAGATTACAGTGTGTCCTGCAGGATATATTTAGCAGTCTACTAGTAAACTGTAGCTAGACATTGTGACTGTCCTGCTAGATTCACCCATGCCAGCACTGTGTCACTGCAGGGGATCAGCGCAGAGAAAATCCACTGAGGTTTCTTAACAAGAGGGCAACAGCCAATCAGAGCTGCTGTCATGCAGAACTGCAGCAACTGCTGTGAGGAAGCCACTGCAGTGCTGAAACTTCAAAGAGGAGCACTGGGAATGCACAAACACTCAAGAAAGTGTGACATTGCTGAAGTGTTTTGTAAACAGGATATTAATGTTAAATAGTTGAAACATAGCCGGTCCAAAGTACAAGTGAATTAGGCTGTTGCTGTTGACTTCTCATAAAGAATATGAATATGACTGTCTGGAATTGCAGTAATGTGTCAAAAAATTAGCCTACTTACACATAGTCTTTTACACCCTTGTATTGTGAAAAAAAAAGTTGTATTTGTTGCTGCTACTTGGTCAGGTATCCCTTGAAACAGAAGTGTTTAATCTCAGTGGGGTTTTATTCTGGTAAAATAAGGATAAACAAAAGTAAAAAAAAATAAATAAAAAAAGAGAGAGAGAATTAATTACTTAATTAAAAAGCATGACATTTTGTTTTTGTGTCAAAATAATTTTAAATTGTATTATGACGTTTGTCATCTTTGTAATGTTTACAGCGTGCTCTGGTTCTAAACGTCATTACGTATTCCCTGGTTGACCAATCAGCTCGCAGAAAGGCGTAAAACGGTCTAGCGCCGGGTAAAAGGGATTTGACAGTTGCAAGTCTTGAGCGGATCCCCGCACTTCGCTTCCTCAGTGGGGCTGGAGGAGCCATGGCGGCTGCTGCCTGCGGACAGCACGGCGCTCTGGTAGCAACCGCAGTCAGCGGCAAAAAGACGGTCACTTACCGGGAATACAACAGGAGGAACCGGGAGAACTCCCGCCGAAGACAAGCCGCTCTTTTGTTCCTGACCAACATCTCTCTCGACGGTCGGCCAGTCCGGAGTAATTCAGCGGAGGATGGAAGGAGCTACAACAAAGAACCCGAGTTTGATGGAGCAAACCCCGGCTCCGCAGCAGCGAGAGATCTCTCTGCGGATCCCCCTCACATGAACAGCCTGTCGGGGTCTGTCAGTTGTGGGGTCTTTTCTCCCGGGTCGAAGGCAGGTCTCACAGTACCGCCAATCCTGGTCCTTCCGTCCGATAACGGGTTTAATGATGTGGGGAGCACGGAGGTGCTGCTGGGATGCCGCCGAGGCTCGTTCCCCTCACCGGGGGACGGTAACCTGCTCTCCCCGTCCCCCTCCAACAACAGCCTGCTACCGTCTCCGCTGGGACCACGGAAGTCCTCCACGCTGCTGTCGGTCCAGAGCTGTAACTCTGTGTCCTCCGAACCTCGGCACAGGTGAGACAAACGGCGCTGCGGTGTTTTTTTAAATATATATATTTGGCTGTAATTTCAGCGGCCAGTAACGGTTTAAACCAGTCCTTCATTCAGTCTAGTCAAACGGGATATATTCTGCGGGACCTTCACAGAAAGAAAAGATACTGTTGTGTTTGGGGATGTCATGTTGTAACCTGCCTTAAATCCCACTTTTCTGTTCCCCTGCATTCTATCAAAAAATGCTGGAAAATGTGCATGGAGTAGTTTTTTTTTCAGAATAAGGTTTTAAGATGATTTTGAATTGAATCAGAACAACAACAAAAATCAAGCAGCTTGATTTTTGGGTTTTGCTCCTTTCAAATTCATTCATATCCTTTCACCTTTTATTTGGACGTTACAAACTTCAATTCACTGGTTTTGATATGTAGGTCAAAGTACTTAATAGTAGTGATCTGGAAGAAAATATACACCTGAAGTGTTAAACTAGGGTTGGACGATATTGACTTAAAGGTTTATCACAATGTAAACTTTTGTGCTACTATTCAATCAATCAAATCAAATCAATCAAATTTTATTTGTATAGCACATTTCAGCAGCAAGGCATT